GAAATATCATGTGATAAACACTGATCGGATGCCTCCCACATCCATGCCGACCAGGGATCGAACCTGAAACCTTTTGGTGTACGGGATGACACTCCAACCAACTGAGGTAAAATAGGTTTATTATATTTGATACATAAGGAGTTCTTGGAAATCACTAAGATCAAGAAAAATACTTTAGCAGAAAAAATGGGCAAAGGTTTTAAACAGGCAAAACAAGAAATATAAATGGTCAATAAACATGTGAAAAGATGTTCCCTTAATAATAAAAAATACCCAAAAGCAATGAGATACTACTTACTGACTTGCAAATGGGAAAGATTATAAAACAGGAAAATACCCAAATGCTAATAAAAGCAAAGGGAATGAGCACACTCCCACACTACACACTACTAATATTCTAGTATAAAATGATATAATCCCTTCAAATTTGGAACTACACATCAAAACCTTTAAAAAAAATGTAAACCCATTGATAAAAATAAGTCCACTTACAGAAATTTATCCAGAGGAAAGTATACATAAAAGACATATATAAAAGGTTGTTATACATAGTATTAAAAGTCTGAAGATAACCTAAACATACAATTGGTGACTGAATAAATAAGGTATCCATAAAATGAAATGGTATTGCTGTCATTGAAAATTAAGTTATAAAGTATGTTTATATTGATATGCAAATATACTCATGACAAACTGTTACAGAACAGAAAACCACATGCATACACATATACACACATACATACGCCCAGAAAAACACCTAGAAGTATATGGACTAATGCGTAACACTGTATGGTGGGGGAATTTTTATTTTAATTTTTACATTTTTTATGTTTCTCACTATTTTCTCTTTTTTCTACTATGACTATGTATTACTTGTACAATTATAAGGTTTTAAGTCCTTTAAAGAAAATGAAATTAGTGGACCAACTAAGATACTTTACTAATTATATATTTAATAGAAAATGTTCAACTGCTGAGACTAAAAATGATCATGCAATTTATTTTAATTTTTATACATTTAGGGTAAGGTAGAATAGAACAATACAATGTGAGTTTAGAAAGCCAAGTTCTAGTTTTGTTTCTGCCTATTACTAGCCATGTGGTCTTTAAAAATCATTTAACCTTTCTCTAGCTTGGATTTCTCATGCATTAAATGAGGATGGTTGTAAAAATCAAATTAAAAAATAAACGTTTAGCCATTTAAAGAAGACATCAAATGTCATTTTTGAATGCCGGTATTATTTTGAGCCCCTGGTATTATTCCCTATTAATGGTATTAAAACATCCAGTTACTTGTAATTTAGGAATACAGAGATGAGTTAATTACTATTTAATAATTCCATTTATCAAATAAACCAGGACAGAAATCTAACTAGATGAATAATCTCTTAGAAATAAAGAATTAACAGCAATCATACATGTAAACATTACTCTATCTTCATGCCAAGTCCATGAAGTCTATTAATAGACTCTATAAAATTTGCTCTAAGTTCATTTCTCATCCGTGGAGAGAAACAGGCTTCTAATTTTAATAGTGAGAAAGTTAAGGGAGTACTAATCTTTCCATGACCTTCTTTTACATCCCTTTTCCTCTTCTTTCCAACTTCAGTCAAACTAGAGAAAATAAGGAGTGAAGATCCTGGACTTTAACTCTGCATGTGTCCTAACACAGTTAATGTAACCTACTGAAACCACAAGGTTGACTGCTCTGACTTAATCCTCCAAGTGTTTGTGATTCACCTATGCAATAGACAAAAGTATTTGTGTCCACTTGAAATTTTTCACTAAAAACAAAGTTACTGGCACTCCCCTAATCAATGCAGTTTATTGCTGTGTAAATTATTTACATCCCAAACAGGTCATTCAAAATGTTTCACACAAAACAACCTCAATGATGTATTATATGTAGATGGACTTTCAAGAGTCGCTTAGTATGAAAATACCACCTGGCATCTGTCTACCCATCCCTCCCAAGTACTAATACTTTGTGATTACTTCTACCATGTTGTCAGCACACACACATACACACACACAGGAATAAAATAAATGAAGTACCCAGCGCCTTTTGCCAAAAGATAGAAGCAAGGTTTATCTTGTATGTCCTTAGAAAACTTTCTGCCAGGCATTCAGATATCTTTGGCAAGTTGGTATTCATTATTCACATTTGTCTACCATTCTAAGGTTGCCCTGGGGCCCTCACTAAAAATGCACTTCCCCTGTGAGTTACAAACCCAGTAACTGGCCACACCTTTCATTGGAATTGGTGGGACAAAGAAGCAGGGCTGAGGGTGGAGTTGAGAACTGTACAACATAATCATTTCAAAACTGCCAAAATCTGCAGCAAGGCAGACATGCCTACGTACAAGATCAGACTGTCACAATGTCATGTTCACATCTTACCAGACTACTCAACCATATATGATTCCTATATATCCTTATTATCTGCAGCGTAAATTTACAGTCATGGAGTTTATAAAGTAAAAAGTACTAGGGCTTTTCTGTAGTTTTCATTAATTTTTTTTTTTGCTTCAGTGTTCCATTTTCCTCACCTTGAGAAGTTGGAAAAAGTTTTCTTGGTTAAACTGTTATTAACTTCTCTACATATCATCACACAGCAAAAGAAGTGCCATGAAGTTAAGGCTACCTCAGTAACATTCCATCAACGTTATTAAGGAACCATGCTGGGTCAATGGTACCAATGCTTCGCCACTAAAACAAGAAAACTAGGCATGACCAGTTCAATGGATCAGAACACAGTTGTGCTTTCTCCAGTAGCTCTGAGGCCTTGGAGCTTATGGCTCAGTTCCAGAGGGTCTTTAAAGTAAGAATTTGCCTTTTGTGCTGCCATCCATGGCTAGAGGAAAAAGAGCCCACAGAGAGAAATAAAGGAGTGCTCCCAACATTGTTACTTCTATCACCATAGACAAATCTAGTCCTTAGAAAGACTTGCAGCTGGGTTGTACAAGAAGATGGCTGTTGGAGAAGAGGACTGTGGAAGTGGAAGGAACATTCTCTTTGATGTACTGAAAAATGTTACTAAATGGCATACAAATGGAGACTACAGTTAGTGCTGTCTGTGCCGCTCTTTTCCTTTGCCGCATGTTTATGCAAAGTATTGCTCAGAAGAGCCAACCCAGGTCTCCGGTCAGGGGGTGCAGTCCAATCCTCCCACTATCATATTATGGCATCTTACAGAAGCTTCTTACAGTCTCCTCCAGACTATAGAAGTAAAGCCACCCAGAAGGTCTCTCATCTGACCTCAACACAGATCACCCAGAATAACTGATGATATGCCACTTTATTTGAAAGTGGACTAGGTAAATGCCAGGATTTGTTGATTGGGATCCTATCCTGCCGTCTGATGTCAGACTGGGCTTACAGAACATACTCATTATAATCATTATGAAGTTTCCCTGGTTGGTTGAGTCGTCCCATGCACCAAAAGGTCATGCCCAGGTTGCGGGTTCATTCCCCTGTCTGGTTATGCACGGGAGGCAACTGATCAATGTTTCTCTCTCACATTAATGTTTCTCTCTCTCTTTCTCTTTCTCTCTCTCTCCCTCTCCCTCTCTCTCTCCCACATCCCTCCCTCCTCCTTTTTTCTCCCTCTCCCATCCTCTCTCTAAAAAAAAATCAATACAAAATATTTTTAAAAATTATTATGAAGCTAAATAGGAGTCTAGCAAGTCAAAATTCACAATCATGAGGAAGGACAGATATGACCCATTTTCTGCAGACCTTTACCTTAGTTTGGTGTTATTTTCTGATAGTCTTCAATCCTGAAAACAATTGCCTTAAATCCTGCTCACTCAACTGTAAGTATGTAACTTGCTATATAAATCATACTGTGTGGTCTACAAAATTGGGACTAGCCAGACCATTTGCCAAAAATTCCAAAATGCTACTAAGCATTAGTATTTACAGCCTATGACAATCATCCCACAGAGCCCATGATAATGATGCTCTCCTCCATCTCTTCTCTCTCCTCACTTTATTCTCCTTGTGCCTAAATCTAACCCTACCAATCTAGGAAACTTCATTAGTTCCACTGCCTTTAATTTCACATATAAAAGACTGACAATCCCTACTAATCAAAATTATTTCAATGAAGATAATTATAGAAATCCTAGAACAAAACAAGACTGAAGCTCATAACAGATTATGTTAACAAGTATAAAATTTTACATAATATAAGCATATACACATTGAGCTTACCATTGATATTAGCCAATGAGAGAATATTATCCTGATGATCAAGGAGGCGCTTAACTTCAAGAATGTCCCATTCTAGTGATCCTTCTATGGGTGCTACCAACCTGAAAATTACTACATGAAAAGAGAGATATAATTTTATTACAATAGCCAAAGATAAAATTATATTTCTGCTCAAAACACCAGTATTTCATTAAGTTAGAAATGTCTAATACTGAAAATATTGAAAGCCTATCTCCAAAGGGAGCCTTATTCATACTACTTTAAAATATTTCTTTCAAATGCTTGAGATGTTTGAAATGATCTTCTAAAATCCCAAGTGAGTGTGTGCTTAGAATTCTGTTCCTTTATCAAAACTCTTCTAACTCCACTACCCCAATCCTTTCCAGGGCTCCACTGCAGTCGGGCTATCCTGCCTCTCTCTCTACCTAACTATTGACTGGCCCACATCAGTGAATCATCTCCACCACCAGCTTTCTGTACTCATGTTCCCAGGCCAGTAAGCACTGCTACAAAACAAGCTACAAATTTATGTTTAACTTAAACTCAGAGAAGACTTCAGCAGTTGCTTTCATATTTTTAAAGTTTTCTTGATACCTAGGCATACACCATCCTATATAATAAATAATAGACAAACATGGTAATTGACCATACTTTCGCTATGCCTCCCATTGGCCAAGCAGCACGATATGCAAATTAACCACCAACAAAGATGGCAGCTAATTTGCATACTGCAGGCAGGGTGGGTCAGCGCCATCCCGCCTGCCCTGCTGCCATCCGGGCCTGCTATCTGTGACCCAGGGCAGCAGGCATCCCGTGTGTGACCCAACCCGGGGCAGCCGTGTAGTGCAGCAGCGATTGGCCAGCCCGCCTGGCCGCCATCTGGGCATCCCGTGTGTGACCTGACCCAGGGTGGTCGGATGGGGCAGCAGTGGTCGTCTGGCCTGCCCGGGTGTCCCGTGTGCGACCCGACCTGGGGCAGCTGGGCGGGGCAGCAGCGATCCGCCAGCCTGCCCGGCCGCCATCTGGGTGTCCCATGTGCGGCCCAACCCAGGGCAGCGGGGCGGGACAGCGTGGCTCCTCTGTCACCCCAGCTTCCTCTTCACAGCTCCCTTGGGGGCCTAAGCCTTTAGTCAGACATCCCCCGAGGGCTCCCTGGCTGCCAGAAGGATGTCTGACTGCAAGCTTAGGCCTGATCCCTGGGGAGTGGGCCTAAGTTGACAGGTGGACATCCTCCAAGGGGTCCTGGACTGCAAATGGGTGCAGGCCGGGCTGAGGGACCCGTCCCCCCACCCCCCTAAGTGCACAAATTTTTGTGCACTGGGCCTCTAGTCCTATATAATAAAACCGTAATATGTAAATCGACCAAACAGCAGAACAACCAGTTGCTGTGATGCACACTGACCACCAGGGAGCAGATGCTCAACGCAGGAGCTGCCCTCTGGTGGTCAGTGTGCTCCCACAGCAGGAGCACTGCTCAGTTGACAGGCGCCAGATGCCAGGCTGACAGCTGGTGAGTGCAGCTGCAGCAGTGCAAGCCTCTCCTGCAGACACTCCCCCTGCACACCCAAGAAGCAGCGGCAGGTGCAGTGGCGCCGGGATGAGTGAGAGCAGTGCGGCGCCCAATGTGGGCTTGGGCTCCTCCCCAGCTGCCTGCCGCTTCACACACTGCACGGGATTGACGCAGACAGTGAGCTGGAGCCCGATGAGCTGGCGGGTAAGGCTGGGCTGTGGTAGCACAGAGGTCCGCTGATCCCTGCAGGCCAGGCTGAGGGACCCCACCAGTGCACAAATCCATGCATTGGGCCTCTAGTTAAATTATAAACTCTGAGGATAATATGTCTATAATTTTTGTGTGGCATACAATTCTTTTGACTACAGATTTTCAATGAGTTACTTTACTTGTTATCTGACTTTAACAAATAGTTTTATTTAAACTAATGTGAATCCTAACTTTAATCAATACAGCAAACCCCAAATCAAATAAACTAGAGTGATTCAATCAACAAGCACTTACTAAACATCTACTATGTCCCAGGAAATTAGATCTCTAATGTGAATAAGGCCTAGTCACTGCCCTGAACCATAGTCTACAGTGGTAGGGAGACCTATAAACAAGCTTATAATAGATGTATTAAATGCTACAATACACCACTCTACCCAATGTTGTGGATGCTCACAGATTAAGATGACTCATATCTTAGAAGTGGGAATGTCTCAGAGATCATATCCTTTCCAAGTGATGGCTAACTATTAATCTCTCTTCTTTCTCACATTCCTCCCTGGAAAATAGTCAGTGCCACATTTCATTCGTCTCTAGACAATTTTTACCAGCTACAAATCTCTAGCAAGGTTATTTAATCCTGGCAGCCATTTACCTTCAAACTGTGGCTGTTGAAATAAAAAGGTATTTCAGTCAACACGAAGGGAATTCTTCCTCATACCTATCAGAGTTATATGAACATTCTATTTCAGTTGAAATCCTACCAAATGATCTTGAGATTGGGATTGTGGAATAAAAAGCAATATATTGTCTACTCAAACTAACATATAATAACCTGAAATACTGACAAAAAGAAGAAAACTATTAAGGAGGTCTCTACAAAGAACTACAAAGTACTAAGATAACATGAAACTGTTTAGTGAGCATAAATATGGCCTCTATAGACAAGTAATAAATTCAAGAAAATAAAACAAATCAGCGAACAAAAGAGAAGCAATAATAAATTCTAAAAAATTAGTTAGGAAAAATATCCTAGACTTCTGAGCCAGGATGAGGTCTCAGCGCTGATAGCCAGTAAAGCTTCAAAGTCACTGCAGCTGGTGCACACAGAACTTACACTTCCTGTTGAAAGGAACCTTCACACAGAAAGAGAGAAACTGAAATAGAACACTGAAAACCAAGTATATAGGTACAAGCTTGGTCTTGGAAACAGAAAAGATACCCCATTTACAGGAATGAAATTCATTTTTCCATAAGAAAAAATAGCACTATATATTTATTTTATGACAAAATTAAATAAAATGCAGAACCTCATTTTAAAGAATATTATGTATTTTTATAAATTACTTTTTGAATAAAATCAACTTTCACTTCTTTTTTTAGATGATACTCTAACTTCAGTTGAAGCATTAATGCTGCTTTTAGTAGTGTTTTAATGAATTCACTAATTCATTCATCCATTCAATAAAAATTTCTTATCTGTTAACAGAAAGATGAATAAGAAAGTTCCAATCTCCAAGTAGCTCATATTCTGAAAAGGAGGGCAAGGAGAGAACAAAAAGTAAACAGAAGTCTTTTTTTAAAGTAGTAAATGAAATGATAGATGTGAGATTATGACAACACAGTGGAAACACTTCTGGGAGGGGAGGTGGTATTAAGTAAGCAAGCCTTCTTCCTCAAAAGATACTGGAGCTGAGCTCTTAAAGAGTAAGTAGGAATTAGCCGTATCAAAGAGGACAATGAGCAGGAGGATAAACCTGATACAGAGTGACAGCAGAAATAAAGGCATAAAGGTGAGAAACACCTTAGGTGGGGGAATCCCAGGCAATTCAGTATTGACAAGCCAGCGATATAGGAGGAGAAAGCTACTGGAGGGCCTGATTTGATATGTTGAAAACCTTGCACTTTATCCTGCAGGGTAGTGATGAACTTACACTGGTCCTCTAGGGCAGCAGTCGCCAACCGGTGGTCCTCAGACCACTGGTGGTCTGTGAGGTCCGAAAGGTTGGCAACTGCTGCTCTGGGGCAAAAATTTTATTCATCTGGGGCAAAAATAAGAAAAAATAAGGGCCACATGAAAGTAAATATATTCAAAGTCCTATTACTTCTTTCTGAGATCATGTTCTTCATACTTTGTTGTTAAAAAGTAATTTTTACAAAATGAAAGTGGTAAATGATAGCTTTTTTGTTGTTTATTAGTTTTACTAAGCAAAATAAAAATCTGGCAACTCTATGTTGAGCTCCAAAAATCTAAACTTTTGTACTAGTCAGAAATTTGAGCCTAGAAATGGCTGTTTTAGGCAATAGGAAGCCACCAAAGCCTTTAAGCAGGAGAGTGGTCTGCATTTTAGATAGATCCTTCTAGCATCTACTGAAGAATATATGTATGAGAAGCGCTAAACCAGAGGAACGGAAGGCATTGACAAGCACTGAAGTAGAGGAAGAAAGGTAAGTAGGAGACTTAATGCAACATTTGTAGTTAAGAAAGGTAATGAATGAGAGCCTGAGGAGAACACCACAAGTGAGATGGGAACCCGTTAGAAATGCAGAGCTCAGGCCCAGGTCTAGACTTATTGAGTTACTCTGGGAGGTAAAGCCCAGTAATTTGTGTTTGTAATAAGCCCTTCAGGTCATTCTAACGCACACTCAAGTTTGAGAACTACTGAGTTCACGTCTCATTGGGTTTTGCAAACATGCCAACTGATAGTAACAGCAAATTTCAGGGCTGGTCTCTGGAAGAAGTAGCACAAGCAATACCAAATGTCTTCTGGGCAAGAAAGAAGCAGCTTTTAAGAAGCATGTTTACTCTATCAATTCTGGCACCCAAATTCCATTCACAAAGCAGTGAGCACAAAAGGCTTTCTTCACTGTAGGCTCCCTGATAGTAAATGAGTTAACTAATAGTCAAAAGCTAAGAAAGTGGCCTTCAGATGTTCATAATTAATACATTTACAAAAGGCCTCTGCTACCTACCCCTTCCTCTGCTATTCCACTACTCTAAGGGAAATGGCATAAACTGCCCCAAAGATAATGGGCCCCATTCTGGCTTCCTGAGGCAAAAACTCCACAGTTCTCACCTTAGTAAAGTCCCCAAATAATCCTCCTTTGACCCTCTCAACTCAAGTTTTTAGTTGCCAAAATGTTGACAGTTGTTTTATGTGGTTATTTTTTTATTTTTTATTTTTTTGTCAAATAAGTGTGTGTACAGATACAACACTTAGCTGCCCCACCTGGCTATGTTAGAACAAGGGTAGGACAAAAACTGACTTAATATCACGAAAATGTCTAGGTCTCCATATCACTTCAACAATCCCAGGAGACCAAGACTGGGGCAGGGGCAGATGTTCCTTAAATGAAATATTAACTAGTCTTTCTAAAATGTGTATACAAGTTCTAGTTTAAAATTTTTTGAAAACAGAAGAAAAAAAGAGTCATACTCACTCAATTCTTTGCCAACTGCTGCCACAACACAGTTCTTAGGTATTTCAATCAAAGCACTGATCCCTTCAAAAATATAAAACAAAGGTACAATTATTTTCTTTATGGTTACATAAAAAACAAAAGCATTCTCAGTTTTATGTCAGTCATTTACAATAAAGGGAGTGGTCACAAAAAAGCACACACAATTTTCTAGATCACGCTTGCTTATACACAGAAAATGATTTTGTGAAAAACTGGTGAGGTATTTGGAAGACTATTTATTGATCTAGTAAGGGTAGGATATACTCTTTAAACATTATGATAAACTTATTTACCAGGGATCCCTTAAGATAATCACCCTCACCATTTACAATACACCTAGCTCAAAGGAGATATAAAATTGGCATTTTCCTTACTTTAAATTTAAGAATCCTGAGTGGGGCCCTAACCGGGGCTCAGGGGATAGAGCATCAGCCTGCAGACTGAAGGGTCCCAGGTTCGATTCCAGTCAGGGGCATGTACCTTGGTTGCAGGCACATCCTCGATGGGGCATGTGCAGGAGGCAGCTGATTGATGTTTCTCGCTCATCGATGTTTCTAACTTTCTATCCCTCTCCCTTCCTCACTGTAAAAAAAATCAATAAATTAAAAAAAAAAAAGAATCCTGAGTGGGTTCCCTGGCAGTAAATGAGTTAGCCAGCAGTCAACAGCTAAGAAAGGGGCTTTTATGCTTTTATTTATTTATTTATTTATTTTAAATATATTTTATTGATTTTTTACAGAGAGGAAGGAAGAGGGATAGAGAGCCAGAAACATCGATGAGAGAGGAACATCAATCAGCTGCCTCCTGCACACCTCCTACTGGGGATGTGTCCACAACCAAGGTACATGCCCTTGACCGGAACCGAACCTGGGACCTTTCAGTCCGCAGGCCGACGCTCTATCCACTGGGCAAAACCAGCCAGGGCAGAAAGGGGCTTTTAAATAACATGTTTTTAATTAATTAATATTTACAAAATTAGATTCAACAATTCAACATCTTTCACTTGTTTATATTTTTAAAAAATATATTTTTATTGATTTCAGAGAGGAAGGGAGAGGGAGAGAGATAGAAACATCAACGATGATAGAGAATCACTGATCAGCTGCATCTTGCACGCCCCGCACTGGGGATTGAGCCCGCAACCAGGCATGTGCCCTGACTGGCAATCAAACCGTGACCTCCTGGTTCATAGGTCGACACTCAACCACTGAGCCACACTGACCAGGCTCACTTATTTATTTAAATATAGAGTTCTCAGTAACTTTTTGTAGTGTAACTATAACTTCTATAACATATGCTAATTTCTATAACATATGTAATAATTATTATTTTTGTTAGTAAGACTTAAAGAATTGAAGTATTAAATTCAGAATCACCACATGTGCAGGTACAAAAACTATTAAAGTTAATTTTTCCAGTATGAAATATATATAACCTATATAAAAGTAATTTATAACATATATTCAAATTTGGAAAATATTATACTCCTTTACTTTACTCTCTCACCCATCAAAAGACTCTTGTAGTTTGGGGAGTAAGTCTCTCTAAAATCTTTTCTCCATATAGGTTTAACAGTATTTTATGCATTTCCCAAGTATAAGGAAGAAGTGATTGTAGAGGAGGGCAAAAGGAAGGAATTAGCAGTACAATATAAAAAAGTAAAAGGGACAGGAGAGCACAGGGAGGGTTAGGAAGAAAAGAATTCTAGATGTGGAAAACTTTGCTAAAAATTTTTTATAAATAATTTCATAAAATAATAGAAACAGAAGTATGACCAGCTGTCATGGCTCAGTGGTTGAGTGTCGATTCAATTCCCTGTCAGGGCACATGCCCAGGTTGCAGGCTTGATCTCCAGAGGCAGCTGATCAATGATTCTCTCATCATTGATGTTTCTCTCTCTCTCTCCCTCTCCCTTCCTCTCTGAAATCAAAAAAAAAAAAAATTTTTAATGCAAGATGAAGCAACAAGTGCTAATGTAGAAGCTGCAGCAAGTTATCCAGAAGATCTAGCTAAGAAGGTGGTTACTAAACAACAGATTTGCAATGCAGATGAAACAGCCTCTTTTGGAAGATGCATCTAGTACTTTCATGGCTAGAGAGGAACTGGCTGAGTCTCTTCTTAGGGACTAATGCAACTGATGAGTTAGTTGAAGTTGAAGCCACAGCTCATTTGCCATTCTGAAAATTCTAGGGCCCTTAGAATTATACTAAATCTACTCTGCTAGTGCTCCATAAATGGAACAACGAAGTCTGGATGACAGCATATCTATTTACCACATGGTTTACTGAATATTCTAAGCCCACTGCTGAGACCTAGAAAAAATATAAATGCTCATTGACAATGCACCTGGCAACCAAGAACTCTGATGGAAGATGTACAAGATTAATCTTGTTTTCATGGCTGCTAACACAACATCCATTCTGCAGCCCATGGATCAGGGAGTAATTTGGACTTTCAAATCTTCTAAGAAATACACTAGAGCTGCCGTGGTTAATAATTCCTCTTATGGATCTGAGCAAAAAATTGAAAATCTTCTGGAAAGGATGCACCATTCTAGATGCCACTAACATGGGAAGAGGTCAAAATGTCAACATTAACAGGAGTTTGAAAGAAGCTGATTCCAACCCTCATAGACAACTGAGTGGTTCAAGACTTCAGTGGAGGAAGTAACTACAGATGTGGCAGAAATTACAAGAGATCTAGAATTAGAAGTGGAGCCTGAAGATGTGAATGAATTGCTGAATCTCATGACAAGACTTAAACAGATGAGTTGTTTCTTACAAATCAGGGGGGGGGAAAGTGGTTTCTTGAGATGGAATCTACTCCTGGTGAAAATGTTGTGAAGACTGTTGAATAACCACAAAAAATTTAAAATATTACATAATCTTAGTTGATAAAGTGTTGGCAGAACTTGAGAGGATTGACTCCAATTTTGAAAGAAATTCTACTGTAAATAAAATGCTATCAAACAGCATCGTGTGCTACAGAGAAATCATTCACAAAATGAGTCCATTGGTGAGGCAAATTTCACTGTCTTATTTTTTAAAACTGCCACAGCCACCCCAACCTAGATGATGGTTAGCATTTTTTACCAATAAAATATTTTTAATTAAGTAATATACATTTTTTAGACAGACTACTATAGTAGACTTAATAGACTACAGCAGGGGTCCTCAAACTTTTTAAACAGGGGGCCAGTTCACTGTCCCTCAGACCGTTGGAGGGCCAAACTATAGTTTTAAAAAAAACTATGAACAAATTCCTATGCACACTGCACATATCTTATTTTGAAGTAAAAAAACAAAACGGGAACAAATATAATAATTGTATTTGCATGTGGCCTACAGGCCATAGTTTGAGGACCCCTGGACTACAGTATAGTGTAACTGTAATATGTACTAGGAAACCAAAAAAATCATGACTCACTTTATTGAAATATTCACTTTACTGAGGTGGTTTGGAATCAAACCTGCACTATCTCCAAGGTATGTCTATACAAATTATTCATGGAGTAAAATTCACATATGACCACAGGCTAATGAAAGAAATATGTACATGTAAATAGATATAATTCATGATAATAGTAAACATAAATATGCACTCTAGATTCAAACAAGATTACTAGTGGTCCAATGTTGAGTTGAAAGGTTAAATTGTAAATCCTAATAAGGTATGGATTGAATTTTGCTAAGATATCACATTATTTTCATGCTATTTTATAGTATTTATGTAGAGATAAGCTATTTCCAATTATGAACTATCTATTCAATTCACGGAGCTCCTACTACCTTTAAGATGTCAATAATTAATACTATTCATTATAGGATGTCCATAGATTCATTTGATTACTTTTAGAACAAGAATAGTTAATAGTGTATCACATAACTTCACGGTTACTGTCATTTAAATTTACTCATTTATACTGAAATGTTTTTACTCTGAATAAATTTTAATTTTATTCTTTAAAATCCTTGGTATCTATAGAAGTCAAAATTGATTTTTTTTCTGTTAAGACAAAAAATTGTCTATTAACAGAATTCTGAGAAAATAGAATTTTGTTAGTAAGTTTGCTCATGAATAAACTTTTTAGTAAAACCAAATGTAAAATGAGGTCATCCTAAGAAATCTATTGAAAGACAAGTGATCTAAAACATTTTTAAAAAGTGCTATTGTAAAGCCATAAAAGTGCTTTCAGGTATCAACATGCTCATCAAACTCCACTTAGAGTTTGATGATCTTATATTAAAAATTTTTTTCTTGACCACTTTGAGAAATTCTGTTAGAAAAGATAAGGAATCCAAAAGGAGGGGAATCTTTTCCTTCCAATTTGATGAAAATGTATTTTACACAACCCTTAACCAACCTGGAGAATATGGCTACATTTTACCAGTATATTCAGAACTGCAAAGAAAAGTACCCTCACTCTCCCCTTTGTTCATGGAAAGTCTCTTTGAAGATTCTGTGTCTTTTAGTCTGTCACTCATGGTTCACAATTACCTTGATTTGTTTTTTACCTGTATCAGAAAGGTGACTTGTCTTACATAGGAGATCTAATTTTCGGTTCCACACACATAGGTCATTCCCACCAGAGAGCCAAACATCTAGTCTCTGAAGAACAGTTAAACACTGCAAAATTTATGAGAAATATACGTTAAGTTTAGCAGTTCATGCATTCATTGGTGGTTTTACAATATGTTCTAAATTCTTTGATACCCTTTCCTTCAAGAGGTGAAGCCTAACTACCCTGCCCTTGAATGTGGGCTCTACTAAGTGACTAGCATCTAATGAATAGAATGTGGCAGAAAGGATAGTGTGTGACTTATACACTAGAGGCCCGGTGCACAAAAATTTGTGCACTTGGGAGGAGGGGGGTCCCTCAGCTCGGCCTGTGCCCTCCTGCAGTCTGGGACCCCTCAGGGGATGTCCACCAGCTGGCTTAGGCCCGCTCCCCGAGGGCCTAAGCTGGCAGTCAGACATCCCTCTGGCAGCCCGGGAGCCCTCGGGGGATGTCCACTTGCCAGCGGGGAGCAGGCCTAAGCTGCAGTCGGACATCCTTAGCGCTGCTGAGGAGGCGGGAGAGGCTCCCGCCACCACCGCTGTGCTCGCAGCTGGCAGTCTGGCTTGTGGCTGAGCAGAGCTCCCCCTGTGGTAGCGCACTGACCACCAGGGGGCAGCTCCTGCATTGAGCGTGACCAATCATTCCCAGTTGTTCTGCTGTTAGGGTCAATTTGCATATTACCCTTTTATTATATGGGTAAGACACATGGTGGTTTCCTCCTTGCTCTCTCTTAGGTCACTCTCTCTAGGGCAAACACACATAAGCAGCCACATGGAGAAAGACCCCCCTGGCAAGAAAGTGAAGCCTCTGTACAACCACCAACATTTCCCAAGCATGTGAGTCCCCTAGGAACCTCCAAATCCAGTCAAGCCTTCAGATGACAACCTCATGAAACACTGAGCCAGAACTATCCAGCTAAGCTGCTCTCTATTCCTGACTACAAACTCTGTGAGATATTTGTTTTAAGCAACTAAGTCTATTCCATTGATCTGTATATCTATTCTTATGCCAGTACCACACTGTCTTGATTACTATAGTTTTCTAGTAAATTTTCAAATTGGGAAGCTTGCATCTTGCAACTTTGTTATTTCTTTTCAAGATTGTTCTAGCTATGTTAGGGTCCCCTGCACTTCTACATCAATTTATGCAAAACAAAAACAAGAACATAGGGAAAAAACACCCTGTTGAGATTTTGGTAGAGACTGTATCCAATATGTAGACAGGGTAGTACTGCAATCTTAACCATATTAAATCTGATCCATGAATATGGGATGTCTTTTCATTTACTTAGATTTTCTTTAGTTTCTTTCAGCAATGTTTTGTAGCTTTTGGTGTACAAGTCACCTATTACTTCTTTAAATTTATTTCTAAGCATATTATTCTTTTGGATGCTACTGTAAATGAATTGTTTTCTCAATTTTATTTTTGAATGTTCACTGCTAATATACAGAAATACAATTAATTTTGTATACTGAATTGTATCCTAAAACTTTGCTAAATCCATTTTTAGCTCTAATAGTTTTGTTATGGATATAGAATTTTCTATATAGCTATTTTATATCCACTGAGCCAAACCGGCTAGGGCAGGAAGAAATAATTTTTTAAACCTACAAAAGTAATTTCATCAAACTAACTTAACAGTTTTTTCTCAGACAAAAAAAAATTTACCATAAAATATCAGCTTATGATCTTACCTTTACAGTAGACTGGAAGCATGACACTTTTTGAACTTGCCTGCCAGTATCACAATTCCATACCTAAATTTATGTTAAGAAATAATTTCTAAACATTTCAAATCTTATACCTTTTCCAATAATTAAGTCACAAATGTCACACATTTAGGTAGAAAATAAGGCATAAAATATTGAGTCATCAACTTAGCACAGTAGGCATACAACCTAAAATAATTTTCTGGTAAATTTTACTGTCAAACTATTTGAAAATGCCAACAGAAAGGATGGTCTGAAAACTGAATCTTTATAGACATTAAATATTGCAACTGTTTAAATTTTGTTTATTCTCCAAAATAGTCCACCATATTGACTGAAAGCTCTCTCAATGTGTATGACATAATTAACTACTGTTATCCTGGTTAAAAAAAAGATAGTAACAGTGTGTTCCTATTACCTGTAAACATATTTAAAGTAGTTAGAAGACCTCTTATAAAATGTCCAAGGTTAGCTTAACTAAGGAGTATGAAGATTTTCAAATTTTTCACACCATTTCCTATGGTAAGATACACATGTTACATCATATCTGAAAACACATTCACATAATAAATATATATAATATGTATAAATATATATATGTACATACAAACTTTTAAGACTATCACTTGACAAAATTGTTTTAAATCTACACTGAGCATTTAATTAATGAAGTTTTAGTTAATAGAGAAGGCCCAAGCTGAGTTAACCCTTTGCGGTTGTATTAAATTTGGACATGGGTGTCGTACTGATCGGAATTAATTTCCATTGAAAGAGCAGTGATACGTAACATGCAAGATTATGAAGGATAAACAAGATTTATTAATTCTTTTTTGGAACTACGTCACTACTAGTAGAATCACTACAAACGTTATCACTTTCTACGTCAGAGTCAGTAGTCAAGGTGCCAAAACAAAATTCTTCATTGTTACTTTCAGATTCGCAGTATACTTCTTTCGGTAACTTTCTTTTTGCCATTTTGGAGTATTATTTTGAAATATCTTCACAAGCGAGAATGCCTAATTACAGTTAAACGTAATTTATGAACTGATACATGAATGAATAGAGTTAAGATTCGTACGGTTCCTTGCTGTGGTGGCTGAGAGCAGACATACTACCGGTACGGTAAAAAAGCTTTGGTGGCTGAGAGTAGACAAACGACTGCAAAGGGTTAATTTAGAATTCACCTGAGTAAAAGAACTGCCAGCAAAGCACCCCGGAATTATTTTCAACAAAGTCACTCTGCAAAGGAAATGAGTCTATACCATCATTTACAGGTAGAGTTTATACTGATATTGTCCCATCTACTCATCTCTGTACTGTACCAGTAATTTTTAATAATTGCCTCTAAGTACTTTAGAAATCATCTAATAAAAAAGCATTTTAAATTCTACTTTTGCAGAGGTTATACTGATACTGAAAACAAATAAAAAAAAAAGAGCTTTAGTCCATAAAATAATTTGCCTCAATAGAGCAGTAGCAATAACGCTAACCTGACCTAAAAATCATCGAATTTTATGCCCTTGTTTACATAATACTGTAATCCCCTCACAATTTATCACCATTTAAATCTTTTCTTAAAATGTTTTCACCTATTGGCAACCTGTCTAGAAATCACTTTAGCTGAGAAGCTTGTTTAAGTTTCATAAAGTATGTATATGTTTTACAGAAGCCTGAGTAACACTGACTCCTTTGAGCTTACTGTGAAACTTACTTCACTAATGCTTGATGCTAAACAGAATTTTCAAAGAGCATAGACTTTTTAAAGGTAATCTATGATAACTTAAAAAAAAGGTCATGAGAGATTACAGTTATCCATAGCATTTGGCTATGGCCTTCACAAATCCAAATTCCTCATAAAAAGATTAAAGGGCTAAATTTGTTTATGGAAAACATTTTTTAAATATATTTCTATTGATTTCAGAAAGGAAGGGAGAGGGAGGGAGAGAAACATCAATGAGATCAATGATGAGAGAGAATCATTGATCGGCTGACTCCTGCATGCCCCCTACTGGGGATTGAGCCTGCAACCTGGGCATGTGCCTTGACAGGGAATCGAACTTTGACCTCCTGGTTCATTGGTCAACACTCAACTACTGAGCAACACTGGCCAGGCTAAGGAAAATATTTTAAAAGGCAGTATTATTACATAGTGGTCCAGAATTCGGCTCTGCAGTCAGACTGCTTACCTTCTGCCCTATACTGGCTGCATAACCTCGGACAAGTTACTTAACCCCTCTTTGCCTCTAATATCTGTGAATGAGAATAAAAATTCTTATTTTAAGGATCAAATGGATTTATATAAAACAGAACAATGTGTGGCACATGTAAGCATTTATAAAATGCCATTACATTTTTAAATTTTACTTAAAAGTAAGGGGGAAAGAAAGGTAACATACTTTTTAAATTTTATTTTTAAATACTAAATAGTAATATTAAACACTGAGCCAATGGCAACTCACTTTTCTGTCAGACTGGGTTCTCAAAAGGTTCTTATGGGTTGGGGCCATTAACTATTTTTTGCTGTACAATGAGGAGAAAAAAAAAGTAAATTATTTTCCAGTCCAACTGATCTTTATTTCCCTAAATTGAAAAGCAAACTGAGATACTAAGCATTTTTAAGCTCATTTTCTCCATTTCATCTATTTTATATAACAGTAACTCTAGAAAGAACAATTTTAGTCATGGGGTTTCCATCAATAATACACCTTAACCTACTATTTCAAGTCTAATACTTTTCAGATGCCTAATGCTTTTAAGAAGTGTTTTTATGAAAGCTAGAACAAAATCATTTTTGCTCAAAGAGGAATGTGCAAACAGGCCCCAAGAGCCTAAAGACTAATAATGTATATATTAGTCCCTTGGGTCACAATAGTTACTTCACTCTCTTCCAGACTAAAGGATATGATAACTGCTCTATCAGCAGAGGCTGTCAAGATGAGCTGATTTTTTTCTTCACATGCTTCCAAGGAGGGAAATGTAATAATAGCTGTTATCTTTTGAGTGTGTCCATTGAGTTCCAAAAGTTTTTCTCCTGTCTGAAATACCAATGAAAATGTTAACAGGTTCATTATTTCACAACTTAAATTACTTTAACAACACTAAGAAGAATCACTATGTAGAAAATGCGTACATTCTATTTGAAATTACTCAGCCATAAACAAATTTAAGTATTTTCTGATAGATAATACAAATTTTAGCATATTTCATATAAAATTTAAAGGAATATTCTTTCCATATGATTTTAAGAATATAATTGGATAAATTAAGCATAAAAATATCAGCAACTTAATCTGTAGGAAAAATAGATAGCCTTTCTTATCCAAGTATTTGTTATTTAAGTCTCCACAGTCATACAGTTGTGGAAAGGAAAAAAGGCAGCATAACAACAACAAATATATCTATATCCAATAATGTATCAACTACTCATAAAGTTAGCCTCCACTCCACCTCTATTTAATAGCAATAGCTATTCCCACCCATGAGACTCTCATGGACTTCCCAAGTAATAAACATACTATAAAACACAATGTAAATATGACAAATTACAAATCTTTCCAAGGTTACAAGATTTCATGAATATAGGGAACATGTTAAAGAAGTACTTTAATCACAGACAAAGCCATTGAAAAATGAGGATCTGACAGATCAGACAATGAGAGAAGATAGATACTTCAAAAGAGAATAACCTGAGTATCAAAGGATCAGGAAGAGAGGTCTCAGAGAAATTTGGTTAAGCTTTAAATATTTTTTAAATAAGCCTTTTATCATATTGCTATTAAATTCAAACATGAAAAGCATGTTACATTATGTAATCATCACTTTGAAAGAAAAATTGCCACAAAAATCAACACTTGATTCATTTTCAGAGTCATTACATAGTTGCTGGTAAGTTTTGTTCGGTAAGATTAAAATTTTATTTTCACATCTTGGTATTTGTTTCTCAGGAAAAAATCTTCATTAAAAAAGTTTCTATTATAAAATATTGGCTCCCAATTTAAATGAAATCTTCCCAAGAATGCCTTTTCAAGTATTAATTAGTCTGTCTACTAATATGCAGATATATCCCCAGATAGTGTTTATGAATGTATACTCAACTATACAGTCATATCTTTATTACACAATCCACACAAAATCAATACACACCTGGGCATTCCACACAACTACAAGTCCATCATCACCAGCAGATGCAAATCTGGTTAGAGAAAAAAAGTTAAAAAATAAGTCACTGGTGACATTTAAGTGCTAAAATTTTTAAGAACCATCAAATCTTATTAATGATATTCTGAATTACTAATATTAATGCAGATTAAGTTATCTAAGCTAATTTAGCAAATACTGAAGAATACCTGCTAGGATTTGTGCCAGGTACTGAAGATACAAAGATCAGATCATTTACAGTGTTACAATGAATAAACTGCAAGAAATGTAAGAATGAGGGAGATCTGTAAAGGAACTTTAAAGTCCTTCCTTGCTTTAAAATTATATGTAAACCCTCACTTAAGTGACATAAAGCCAAACTGAGGAACAGCTTCACTGAGAAGAAGTGATATTCCAGAAGTGGAAAAAAGAAACCGTGTCCTTAGATAAGTTAATTATTTCTATTCCTTTCTCTGTAAAAATACTCTAACTACTTTTTAAAGCCAACATCATACTCTATTTTGCCCCTAACACTAGGACACAAAAATTTCTTTGTTCCTGAATTTTATCCCTATATAAGATTCCTAAATTTCACTACTTCAGTCAAGTAACATTTTCTTTAATACCTCAAACTGAGCTTCAAGTTCAAATTTTTCAGATTCAGTTTCAAAATACCATATGCACCTGTTGTCTTCACTGGCTCAGACAAATCCTATATTTAGTACCCACTTCAAAACCATTTGATTACATCTCCTACTGCAGGAGCTAAAAGATTATCCAGGAGATAGGAAATTGGCCAAATACAGTCTGACAGTCTGTTAATAGTATTTGAATATAGAACTACATATTTTTTAATGGAAAGGGCCTTTAAAACTACCTAGATTACAAGCTAGAAACCACACAAAGAGTTACTGTAAAATCCATGCTTAACACTTAATTTTTCAAAATGAAATAATGAAGTACATAAAAGATCTGAATACTAAAAAGAAAACTTATTTTTAAATTAAAAATATAATTTCTTATGGTTAATTACATACATTTTCTGGATTACAATACTTAACAATCCCTTTAGTATAAAAACTAGTTGCTAGATGTCTTTACTAGCTTATGTTTCTAGACCTATCCATCTATTTTTATTTGTATAGTGATGGTGGGAGAGCAGTACTCACGGCCTTAAGTTTTCTTTGGTATAAAACATCAATTTATATTGATTCTTGAAATTCTTATAATTGCTTTTCTCCATTTTAGAAGATTACAGGTTAAAAATATACTTTTTCTAACCTTGATTTTTAACTTCTCATTGTTGTTTTATCATATCTGAATCTCATGAGGTCACGAGTTTAGAAATGAGATATAAAGCATTTCACCTCAAACTTTAATTCAATCAGTAGTAAACAAGTTAAAGCTAAACAATGCCCAATAGTAATGCATGAAATCACAGCCAATTTTTAGTTGCTCAGAGGTTGATTACCCAGTTGATGGATAACTCAGTCCTTTCAATTCTTATATATTCTATTGCTGCCTTTTTTTCTACCATTTCAATACCTATTATTACCTACTCGTGAAGTTTAAAAATGCAAGTCAGTTTAACTTTGCTATATATTACCTCTCATAAAATAACTATGCCAAAGAATTTCTGTGCATATGTGCATAACCGATGGACACAGACAATAGTGTTGTGAAGGCCTGGGGAGGAGACAGGAGCGGCGGGGAAGGGGGTAAGTGTGGGTAGGGAAAAAGGGGACATCTGTAATACTTTCAACAATAAAGATAAATTTTTAAAAATAACTATAATAAAGGGTTGGGAGATCATTCACAAATTACAATTATCCATTCTACTAGGATGGATAACTGAAAACTAGCTGCACTAACTATATCTGTTTACCTCTAAGTCAGTTTATCCTAATCAGTCAAGCACATACTACAGCCACCTCCCAAATCATAAATGAAAATTCAACCCAAGAATTCCTAATACAGTAAGATATACTGTAATGGCTGAAAACAAGTAATGAACCATTTTAAAAAGAGTAATTAAAATGTCAATAAGGCTTAAGTTATTCAATGGAAGAAAAAAATAGTGGCTATATTGTCATAAAATTATATATAATTATATAAAATAATTTTTAAAAAAACTCAAAATTAATAGAATCTAAATATTCCATTCTAAAGATAAGTTTTTAAGAAAAATGCTTCTTTAATGATTAGCACAAAATATATGCAATGAGATTTCATATTATACGTTCAGAAAATGCCAAGATCAATTATATGTAGTTCTTGTCCCAAGATATTAAAATTTAATGACTTAAAAAGGTACTGTATCAGATCTAAGACATCATCAACTATAAGACATTCTATTACTTTATGTACTATTAAGGGAAAAAATGCTACATAATGGAAATACACCATCAATTATATGATTTATTCAAATTTTACAGATATTAAAATAGAAAAAATAGGCTTTATAGAATCAATTCAATATAATAATTGCCATATTTATTGATCTTTATAACATGGCACTTTCTAATCCAACAAATCTCTAATTATTTCTGCCAGGTTTATAGCACTAAATAATGCTTTTTCAATGAATAAGCAAACATTAAAGAGTTGCAAAGGTTCTGTAAAATAGATTGTCTTAATCTCACTTTTCTCTTATCATTATTAATATATCAATATTGTCACAACAAAAATAGAAATTTGAAAAATTTTACACTCACAATCTCACCACAAAGATAAATTTCTTTTATTTTTTCATGCTCCTGTTATTATACATAGCCTTCAAGTTTTCTTAACTTGAAACCAAGTCTTTAAAAATATTCTTTGCCCTAGCTGGTTTGGCTCAGTGGATAGAGCATCATCGGCCTGAGGACTGAAGGGTACCGGATTTGAATCCAGTCAAGGGCACATGACCAGGTTGCAGGCTCGATCCCCAGTAGGGGGCATGCAGGAGGCAGCCAATCAATGATTCTCTCTCATCATTGATGTTTCTGTATCTCTCTCCCTCTCCCTTCCTCTCTGAAATTAAAATATTTTTTAAAAACTTTATAAAAATATTCATTGAAACTATACAATTAAATGACTAAGCAAAAGCTATATACATGAAAACAAGTTTAACAAGGTAGAAACATGGTTTAATGAAGACCTATATTAGAGTTTATAGAATGTTCCATCTTCTCCTCCCCTAATTATGAGACCTAATTTATTGAGAGTAGATGACTCAATCATTTCTTCAATAAATATTTATTAAGCACTAACTCTATAACGTATAAGTATGTATGTGCTTGATCCTAAGAGTAAAAATCAATGAGATAGTTCTTGCCTTGAAGAGCTCAGTCTACATTACTCAGTAATGTTACAAGGTCCAGATCATGTACCCATTGAGAATTCTCATTTATACATCTTTCAATTTATAGAAATCACTCCCTTTAAACACCTTCCCTTTGAACAACATCTCAGAGAAAGTACTCTTATTCTTGCCAACTGTGGGCTAAAAGAACAGCAGAGCTTCACGAAGATCTATATAAAATAAAACATGTATTTTCACAATTCCTATTTCCATTACCTAAGTGCATATTTAATAGCTCTTATTCATGTGAACTTATTTCAATTAAGTCAAAGGTGCTACAGATTCAAATATAACCTTAGAGGACATAATAAAAAGTATAGCCATAAATCTGAACATGAACCCTCCTGTATTCAATATCTACATAACCATAAAGCACTGGAAATATAAAAATATAACATTACTATGACAAAAAAAATCCCTGTGGTTAACTAATTTCCCACAGTACTTTCTAATACATGATGCAGCTTAAATAGTGTATCTTTTTTTTACAATAAAATAGTTGAAAAATAGCAAAGTTTTCATTTAAAATGGATTTTTACTTATCTTGTATGATAGAACTACTTGAAAAAAATTAGAGATGTAGACTTTTAATAGGTATTTAAGGGAATTCCAAAGCATTTTCAGGAGCCATAGACATTGCCACTGATTCTTTCATTAGATCTATGAGAACATAATTTTTTTCCTTAAGAAAAAAATATACAAACACACACACAAAACTCTGATATCTGAATGTCTAAAGTCCTCACAAATAGAATAAAAGAGGGAAGATTTCATAGTTTCCATAGTCATTTGCAAAGGTAAAACCTTGGTAAATTCTCCCCTCCTCCAAATCACAAATAGAAAACTAAACTACACATCAAGTTTACAAGTATTAGAATACCAAAAAATTCCTGTGACTTCCATTGGGGGGGTGGGGGCACTCTCCATTACCCAGAGCTCAAGTTTCCCTGAAAGAACTACTAAGAAGCATCCTGGCCTCTCCCTCTCCCAACTGACCTAATAAATGAGTTTGAGAGAATGAACTGAGCATGCTCTGTTCAGGCTCTTCTGGGTTTTCTCTGAAGATTTGTCTGTTCACAGAGAGAAAACATTCTGCTTTGCTCTTGTTTTTAAGGTAAGCCTACATTGAAGTAGGAGGCTTGCAGATGTCCAGTTGCGCCAGTGATTCAGTGAATAAGTCTACCTAACTCAAGGTGTTGTATTAGGAAACCCACTATTTACCGAGCCACATTCTTTATTCTAATGTTTGCCAGTTATTATTTTAGTAAGCTGATATGTTCATGTCCACCTGTGTGATTTCTGCATTGAACAAAGTTTTATTTTATACTGAAGCAAAAATACTTTTTAAATTGGCATTTTTATTTCCTCTCTGACAAACATACATCATATTTTTACATTTATTATGGAGAATTTAAATATTTATAAAAGTGGAAACTGTATAACAAAAATCCTCAGGTACTCATACCTGTCCTTAATAATTATCAACTCATGGCCAGCACTGTTTCATCTGTACCACACCCAATTGCCCCTCCACACATATTATTTTGTAGCAAATCCCAGTAACTATACTTCATTTCATCAGTAATTATTTTAATATATATCTCTTATGACTATTTTACACCACAAAGTTAACAACATTTAGTGACATAACATACCTAGTCAATGATCAAATTTCCCTGTCTCAAGTTTTTAAGCTAGTAACTGTGGATCTA